AACCAGCACAATAATTACAAAATATTCAGCCTAAAATTGGGGAATTGAATATATTTCTTGAATCAATAATTTTTAGAAAATATCTTTCATAATAAATATTTAATTTTCCATATGATCATTCATGTAATTTTTGGACAAAAAATAACTAATATACTGGATAGCAGGAATGCTAGAGTACAGTAATTCCTAAAATTATATCCGTTTATAACTAGGTCTTTATTTTTATTACTCTTAGCATTAGACTTTTAGACTTAAGATGACATTGCTCGTGAATTTAGCTTTCTCCTAATTCCGTGTTGAAATTAGTACTATGAAGTACAGAATCTTCTCATTTACCAGAGTCATCAAATTCTCATTTGGCTAACATTAGTTATTTTTCCTGTGGCTTTCAAAAGCTTTGCCCATTTATATCTGTGAGAACAAATTCATAGCTGTTAAACTTTTGACACTTATTTGAGATTGAAGTGTTTCTGACTTTGAAGTGTATTTGACCTTTTAGTATCTATAGAGAAAAACTTTAATTGTTGGTATAGCCTTACCTTTAAAGATAATTGAAGTCATTTTCATGGAGTGTGACTCTAAGAGATGCTGACTGAATATGCAGCGTTGAGATGCTGAGTCTATCCATTCTAAGTTTATGTTAGAAGTAGCCACCATCCTTGGTCTTAGAGGCCATTTCCAGTGAATATTGAGGTGAAAGTATGAATAATTTGATCAAATCTGCTGTTTGTCCCTGTTTGTTACATTTGATCAAGAATGGTATTTGTTCTGTCAGTACAGTGACTGGCAGTACTTCTGAACTGTGGAAGAAATGGAATTTGTAGTCCATTCTTCCACACTTTTATGCATTAAGTCAATATACTAGTTCATGTTTTGGTGACTTTTTTTTTTTACCTTCAACACCCAAACAGTAGTTGATACAAGATAGTCCATAGATACCAATGTGATAATGCTATTTAAAGATGTTTTTTCTTTTTCACAAAAGGATGATATAGTCATAATATAAAACTGTTCTATACATAAAAAATAGTGTGGTTTAAAATATACATTTTTTAAAACTTCTCACTTACTGTGATTTGTATCAGAATTATCACTTAAATGAAGAAAGTCCTACCTTTTCCACTTCTGTAGTTTCTAATTTATGGAAAATTTTTACATTAAGTTTGTCATTATGAATGGTTTTCAAATGGTAAATTTAATCCATTAATAAAAACTAGTTGAGGAATTTCACAAACAGTGATAACTTCCTAACCTGAAAGTAGGATTTACTTGCTAAGAGATTGAGTTTAAAGAAAAAGATTTTAAACTAGAGGAAAAATTCATTATTACTATTAAAATGGATTTTCAGTTACTCAAATATATAAATTTATTAATTACTTGTTTTGAATGAATTGCTCACTTTTTTTGACAGCTGTATCTTTCTTGCTTTCTCTTTATTTTCATATGAAGGTCTCCTGATTTTCATGAAGAAATCAAGGTTAAACTCCCTGCTACTTTAACCGACCATCATCATTTGCTTTTTACCTTCTATCATGTTAGTTGTCAACAAAAACAAAATACCCCACTTGAAACTCCAGTTGGATATACAGTAAGTCTACTTTACTAAATATTTAGCTTTCTTATCTTAAAAATAACTTTAATTTTATGGAAAGTAGTTTTGGAGTTTAAGATATACCAAAACCTGAAACTATACCTACTACCATCCACTTTATTTAAGCTCCGACTAGAATAGAGTAAAATTGCCTTACATGATTTCCAAGGCTGTAAATAGTTTAGATTTAATAAAAAAGACTGTCACATCTTCTTCTAGAGGAATGGCTAGTGGATTTGAATCACCAGCTTTTTAATTAAGAGGGAAGATCTTAGGTCAAGGAACCTCCAGACTCCGTATTTAGTTTACTAAACTTAAAATGATACTCATGGAAAATGTGCAACAATGAATGAATTTGAAATCCAAGTTTTCTGTAAATTTCTGTTAAAATCATAATAAAAAATGGGGAAAAAATTATACTCATTGTTTCCCAGTTGGTTCCAGTTCATGATGACTGACTCCCCATTGCATTTCTAAGACTATAAATCTTCACAAGAGTTAGACTACCAGTCTTGCTTCCATGGAACAGCTGGTGACTTTAAACCTCTGACCTCTTGGTTGACAACTCAATGCACTATGCCACCAGTACTTCTTTAAGATGTAGGGGTTTTGTACATTTGAGTTGGAACCAACTCGTAGCTGACCCTCCAGCAGGTCTTCAGAAACAGTAAATTGTATGGGAGGAGAGTGTCCATCTTTTTTCTAATAAGTAGCTGATAGATTTGAACTCGGTGCCTTTGGGTTAGCAGTACAACTCTTTACCACTAAGCTACCAGTGCTCCCTTTAAGATATAGTCAATGCTTATTATTTGACTACTTCTCATCTGGTTCCCTGAAACTATGTTACTGTATTGGTTAAAGTCATCAAAATTATAAATGTTCATTAATGTTATTTTTTAATCTATATAATTTATTCAATAACTAAATGCTTCACATTTGAGTGTAGATCTTAATTACTGGGTATTTATTTCTCAAAATAGTATATAGGTCCCTAAAGTACTCAAGAGCAACGGTGTCTCTCTGGAGACTAAGGTGCACCTGATACAGGCCATGGTTTTTTCAATCACTTGTTATGCATCAGAGAGTTGGACAGTGACTAGGGAGGATAGAAGGAGAATTGACGCCTTTGAGCTGTGGTGCTGGAGAAGAGTATTGAATGTACCATGGACTGCCAAGAAAACAGATTCATCCTAGAGAGGTTTAAACCAGGCTGCTCCTTGGAGGCAAGGATTCTGGGGCTTCGTCTGACATACTTTGGACATGTTGTAAGGAGAGACAGGTCTTTAGAGAGGACATTATGGTGGGTAGAGTAGAGGGACAGCGCAGGAGGGGAAGACCCTCTATGAGGTGGATTGATGCAGTGACTGGGGTAATGGGGATGGGTGTGTCAGAGGCAATGAGATTGGCACAGGATAGAGCAGGGTTTAGGGCTGTTGTACATAGGGTCGCTATGAGTCGCAAATGACTCGATGGCACATAACAATAACAACAAAAACATATAGGTCCCTATTTGGTAAAAGCAATTTTATCTTGTTTACTAACTTAAAGTCAACCCGGCAGAAATGTAGAAGGTGGTCCTGGTGATTTTCCTCTGTGAAGGAGTTAGTCAAGAAATCCCTGTGGACTAGTTAGGCCCTGTCACCTATAGGGTCTCCATGAGTCAGGGGATATTCGGTAGCAGCAAACTTTTGGTTTGGTTTTGTTCAGTTTTGTTTTAATATATCCCTGGTGGCCTACTGGTAAAAACTGTGTAGCAGTCTCAGAGGCATGCGATTCGAATCCACCAACTGCCCCACAGGGAAATGATGAGGACAGTCTCTTCCCATGTGATATATTGCCTCTCAAAACCCACTGGATGGTCAGCTATGGGTTGGTTCCAAATTGATGGTATACAATATCAAAACAATAGTATAGATGTTGTGTACCTTTCTTTTTTGTTGTTAAAACAAAGCAGTAGATTTAAGGGTTCTTCAGAAGAGAATAGTTTGAATTGTAAAACTGTTAAAAGAGACTCTTAAATTAAAATCTTAGAATGTTTTTATAGAAATCAGTCACATTATAGTCAGATTGTCGTAGTTATGTTAATGTGAAAGAAAGCTAATTTTTTCCAGGAAAATCAAGCCTCTACTGAAGAGCAAATTCACCAATTTATTTTTTTTCTATTTTTGAGGTGTGTGTTAACTAAATTTTTTTTAATGTTCATATCTTTTATTTTAGCTGAGTTTTCAAAAATTCATTTCCAGCCAGCTATTTCTTTCACTGAAATGTTTGTCAGTGTTTTTATTTGCTATTGATTTGTGAGTGAGGAGCTGTCCTGTGTTATCTAGTAGAACTCCTCCATAAAGTTTTCCTGATGGTAATTGTTACAGAATCAAACTTTTGGGTGGATTCAAATACTATCCTTTTGGTTAATGGTGGAGGACAAACTATTTGTTCCAACCAAAATCTTTCACTATTTACTTTGAAAATATTATCTCAATTTTAATCAATTTATGGTATTTTTCTAGTACCAACTTTCTCTTGCATAAGGATCTCTTATAGATTTAAATATCATATGGCCAATAACCATGATGTTCTAGAGATCCTCTTTAATAAAGTGTAATCTTTGAGGAAATGTTCCCTGAGTAGAGTTTTGAAGCCTTATGCAATTAAATCACTTTCCTGTTGATGATATAAGTCAAATTTGGCTCATGCCAGTTTCTTCAATCAAGTTTTCAAAGTAATTGTTTTATAATGTTTAAGTTGATATTGTTTTCTTTTTGCTTAAAAGTGGATACCAATGCTTCAGAATGGACGAGTAAAGACTGGTCAGTTTTGCCTACCAGTCTCGCTGGAAAAACCACCACAAGCATATTCTGTACTGTCTCCTGAGGTCAGTATCTATCTTTTTTTTTTTTTTAAATTATTATTTTGTGTGCGTGTGCCGTCAAATCAGATCTGACTGGTACAGGAGGATATTGCGCCTCCTTCTCCGGCAGAGCATCTGGTGGATTCGAACCGCGTTCCTCTGGGATTGCAGTGCAGCTTCTTGCCACTTGGCCACCAGAGCTCCCCAGTATCTATCTTTTATATTGAAATGTTCCAGAGGGACTTTTCATTACAACTGCATTTTAGCCAAAACAATTTTGCTATGTCTTTATTTGTATTTTAGGACAAAGCAATATTATTTCCTCTAATTTTTAAATTTCATTTATACAAATGTTGCAAGTTTTAATCCTGTTATTTAAAAAAGAAATTCATTTACTTTAAAGACAGAATAATACTTAAAATGTTGTTTTGAGAAGCACAGCTTTGGACCAGTAACTTGAAATTGACCCAATGAGATGCCAAGTTACCAAAGAAAAAGACTGGCAACTCCATGATCGTAATAGATGAGATCTATTAAGGGATTATTAACTGAGGCAATACCCTGATAGCCATGGTGAGTAAAGTTTACATGTTACCAGGACCCTAGCAAATATTATAAATGTTACAAGGCCAACCTAGCAAGTATTGCATAATAGTTGATTTAGCAAGTGGAAGTGAGAGACCCAAGCAGGAGTAGCGGCACAAAAATCTATCCACAACATTCCACTCTAGAGGCTGCTCCTTACAATCCGCATGCTTCCCCTTCTGTAAGGTCCGAGAGGGCAAGGCTCACAACTAGGTTGATGGGACAGGCAGCACTGCTTCAGTTGGAGGCACAGACCACAGCTACAATATAAGCAAACTTGGCAACTCAACTCTACACCCAGGAAAAGATCAACATACAACGGATATGCTGCCATCTAGAGGTCAAGGAAGGAAAAACAGGTGGCCTCGGTTAGCATTCACAGGTGTCTAGGACCTCTGTCAACTTCTTCACCTAGCTTAACAAATCACTGTTAGTGGTAGTCTTGTATATGGGAACAGTTAATTTTTACACCTATCTTGAGCAGTGGTCATAATGTCTAGAGCCATTTGACATGACTAGTTAAGATAATATCTCCCTTGGCTCCTAGAGCCACATATGCGGAAGACTGATCATGTGGCCCGCGAAGCAGCCTCCAGCTGCATAGTGATCAGTGCACCTCACTGCAGCTGGGAGAAAGGCTAAGAAACTATTTAATAGAATCTTTCTTCATCCTCAAGAACATCTTAGAGGGTCATCTATAAGTCAGTTTTGACTGGGCGGCAGTGACTGGATACAGTTACTCACTTTCTGGTCGATTTTAATGATTTGATTTCATTTCATCTACTACTTGCTTTGAATAGTTTACTTCCTATCACACTTAAAACTAGCTGTATATCCTCATTTTTAGTTTTTACTATCTTTCATATTCTGGTACATTCAGAGATTCTGCTTTGTAAGTTTTAAATCATATCCCCTTTCCCTTTTTACCCCCTTGAAAACTTATTTCCTTCACTTACTCTTTACAGAGAGTTAAGGGATAGCAATAATTGGTGCTGAGCACCTATGCAGCTTTTCCCTCAACCTTGTTGACTGCTTTGCCCTGAATCAATTTTACAAACATTCAGAGTCACCTGTTTGCTGACATTGGGCTGTCTCCACTCTTAGCACATATTAGACTGTACTGAGGGAGACAATCCTGACATGTAACCTTTCTTGTAATGTACTCAGTGTTTTCATTTATATACTTAACATTTTAACACTTCTGCATTAATTCTCACAAGCTTGCATTAATTTATTTTTTAAAAATTTATTATTAATTTAAATGAAAATTTACAGAGACTTTGGATTTCAATTCATTCATTGCTGCATTTTTCTCCCCTACCCTCTTGGAAAAGTAAAAGAAAAATTTTTTTATTGTTTTACAATCCCTTCCCCTGGTCCACTCCACTGTGCAGCCTTCACTCTGCACTCCCGTCATGACAAAAATACCTAGTCACATATCCCTTTTAAACAGTTTTCTCCCTCATAGGTTTCAATACAGTATACATTATTGGACCCATCTTTCTCAGTCTCCCCCAACCTTGAGGTCAGTCCTGTTTTACAACAGTGGCACTGTGCAGTATTTTAGGGAGTAGTCATATTGTACCTAGCCTAGTACTTGAGACCACTCTGTTGACTGGTTAAAAAGAAATTAATGCTGCACACCCACTGTGCAGTCCTTTTGTGACTGAGATATTTCACTCAGCATAATGTCTTCCAGGGTCACCCATTTTGAATAATACTGCATGAGTTCCTTGTTTTTCAATGCAGTGTAGTATTCTCTATCCATTGGTTTGTTGATGGGCACTTAGGTTGTTTCCAACTCCTTGCTATTGTGAACAAGGCTGCGATAAACATGGATGTGCAGCATTAATTTCTTTTTAACCAGTCAACAGAGTGGTCTCAAGTACTAGGCTAGGTACAATATGACTACTCCCTAATACTCGAAAATATCCACAAAGGCCTGTGGTATTTTAGTGTCCTATGAATGGGAGACTAAGATGTACCTCATTTAGGCTCTGATCTTTTCAGTCTTTTGCTATGCATCTGAGAGCTGTACAGAGAATAAGCATAACAGAATAAGATTCTATGCCTTTAGATAGAGATGTTGGAGAAGAATACTGAATATCCCATGGCTGACAGAAAGAATGAGCAGGTATGTCTTCAAAAATTTGCAGCCAGAGTGCTTCTTGGAGACACGGATGGTGAGACTTTGGCTCACATATTTTGGGCAAGCTGCTGAGAGAACCTCTTGTTAGGAGATATCCCTTGGAAAGGACACAAGAGAGTAAGACCCCCGGTGAGGTGGATTGCTACTGTGACTGCAACAGTGAGTTCAAGTATATCAGAAATGATGAGCATGGCACAGGATAAGGCAGGATTCAGGTCTGTTTTTCAGGTTACTGTGAGTTGTACTCTATGCAGTGACACTTAACATCAATGACATAGGTGGGACAACATACAGGATTTATATAAATAGACTAAGGAACTTTTGGGAGTTCTGGTGGCCTGGCAGTAAGAAGCTGTGCTGCAGTTCCAAAGGCATGCAGTTCAAACCCACCATCTACTCTGTGGGAGGATGAACGGTCTCCTCCTAGGCAGTTTAGTGCTTCTGAAAACCCTCTAGAGGGTCAGCTCTGGGTCATTTCCGGCTTGAAGGCACACAGTAACAAAGAACTTTTAGAGTGTTCTGGTGGCTTAACTTATAAGAAATTTCTCTGCCAACACAAAGGTACACAAGTCAAAACCAACCACCTGTTCTTTGGAAGAAAGATGGGCAAACAACTCCCACTGAAAACCTGCTGTGAGTTGATTCTCATATAATGGTACACAAGAACAACAACAAGGAACTTTTGTAAGGTTAGAGTTAATCCTTTCCCCTGTAGATAGTCTTGTAACCAAAAACATAGCTTCAACAGTCAGTATGATAGCGTTAATGTAATGACACCCATAGATAGTATTGGGGAAATAAAAAACAGTGAATTCTGTAGAAACTATAGCATGACAGGTAGTGGAGCTGAGCAGATATATCTTCAGTGCTACCTTTCTCAGGTAAAGATAATGTTTCTGATTAAATGGGCATAGAATGGTTAAAGAACATATTATTAGGTGCTACAACTCATAGCAACCCCATGAAAAACAGATGAAAACCTTGCCCTATCCTATACCATCCTTCCAGTCTAACCATGCTTGACCACATGATGAAAATCACTGTGTCAGTCTATCTCATTGAGGGACTTCCTCTTTTTCACTAACTCTCTGCATTTCTAGGCATGATGTCTTTTTCCAAGGACTGGCCCCTTCTGACAACATACCCAAAGCATTTGAGAGCAAGTTTCACTGTCTTTGCCTCCAAGGAGCATTTGAGCTGCATTTCCTCCAAGACAGAGCTTCTGATTCTTTTGGCAGTGTCTGTTATATTCAATACTCATTGCTCCAATCATGATTCAAATGCATCAGTTCTTTGGTCTTCTTTATTCACTGTCCAACTTTAGCTAAAATGTCAGTCTCACCTAAGGATTTTTATTTTGGTTTACTTTTTTTTTTTTTTACAACTTTCAACTTTTCTAGACTCATACTTCGTAATTGCAGGATCGAGTTATTAATGGATGTTTACAGCTGTTTCTCTTCATTTTGAGCATGGCACAACACTAAAATGAAGATCATTCATTGGGCGAAAATTTTACTCCATTCATGTCATTAAGGTTGATTTTATTTTTAAGAACGATTATTCCCCAGTTGCAATTTGAATAACTTCTTCCAACCTGAGAACAAAAAAGGGTTAGTAACAGAAGAGAGGCTGGAGATCCTCTGATAGGATTTTGTATAATAAATGATTTATTTATTACAATTACCTTTTTAAAAATAAAAAAACACCCATAATTAGTTATTATAAACAGGAATTTTCCCTGTTGGAGTATACAAACATTAAATTGATTTTATCTGTGAAAAGAGACTGTGATGTGAAGAATTTAACTTTCTGTAGTCAAAACAAGGTCAGACCATCAATTACTTATATGCAAGTTCAAATCAAATCCAAAAGAAAGCAGCAGAGACACCCTGAGAAGCATTTTAGGGCTAGGGAACGGTGATCCCACCCCCTGTCTGTGCAATAATAAATGGACCTGATGAAGCTCCTGTTACCGAGCCCCCCGCCCCCAGCCAGAGGCAACCTGGACCCCAGGGCCCCATGGTGGGGCAGCCTGGGCGACCCATTCCACTTTGTTCTACATTCCCCTTTCTGCTCTTTCTGTCAAGGGTTAGCCCCTATGCACTGTCCCAGGGAACACGGTATTTAAGAGAGAACTATATGGGTATTAAAGTTGGTTTGGTTTTAAAAAATATATATTATTTCCATAGTATTCTTATTAAGATATTTTATTTTTTTCTTTTGTTCCCAGAATTAGTATTCTCTATAATCAGTATATTTAAAATCTTATAGGTTCCTCTCCCTGGCATGAAATGGGTAGATAATCACAAAGGTGTTTTTAATGTTGAAGTAGTTGCTGTTTCATCTATCCACACACAGGTAAGTCAGTTTTAATAAGAACTAGAACTAGGATCAAAATGAAAGTAAATAAATGGAACATTATGTGATGCATATGTCAGTCTTGTTATCTAAGATGACAGCAGTTTATTAATTAAAAATTGTACATGGTACTAACTAAAGGAATGAATTTTCTAAAATATATCACTTCATTTTGAAAGTTAGGGGAATTCTTTATCTAAGCTTCTTATAAAAAACCTGTTATATAATTGTTGAAAAACAATTATCCAGTTCATATTCTTTCTCAGACTCAAGCTATCAGAAACCAAGAGGGTTCTTGGACATCCCTTTCTTTCCTTAAAATTCACTCTTTTTCTAGAGCATGCCAAACTCCTCTCAGTACCTTTGCATATGCCGTTTCCCTGGATGCAGGGGTTTTTTTTTGGTTGTTTTTGTATATTCATTTGACTTATCTTCATTAAGGTTTGCACACGTCAGGGAAGCCTTCTTTTCTGACTTTTTTAAAACATACCACCTTCATCTTTCTATGCATCGTCAGCTCTACATTTCTTAGCTTTCTTATCATTTCACTCCCTCTGTTTGTATGTGCATATACACATACAGAATTATTTATTATTTCTCTCTTTTTTTAAGAACCTTACAATGTAATAGAAGAAAATGTAAAGATAATGACAGTCCAAAATTAATGCCATGTTATATACTGTATTAACACATTGCTTTGAAGTGGCTGAAGTTGCCGGTTCTGTTTGGATTGAGATGTTACTCTGATATGTAGGCTTTACCATACAGAAAAATAGAGGGTAGGTAACTCAGATGAGTACAAGTACAATAATATGACAGTAGTTTTATACTAAAAGACTAGCAAGTAATCTGATGTGAACACAATTTAAAGTTCATAGGAAATTGGCACAGATGGAGATAAGAAGACTGGGTTGTAACTGGTTAGAAAGGACTTTGAGTACCATGTAGTTCAGAGTTCAGATAGATGGTGATTTCACTAGCCTAAATAGCATGTGAAATAAAAATTGGGGGTCTACTAAAAAAGGGCAGTTACAGAATCATCTTGACTTTCTTTTTTTTTTAATATATTGAGCTTGAAATGTCTTGGCACTTTAGATTGAGATGTACAGTAGGTGGTTGTATTGGTTTGACACTTGAAACAGAAGGGAACTTAATAAAGGTGATAGCCAAAAATAGGGGTAAATGGATTTTTCAAGGAGTTAATACAGGAAGAAAGATGAGTGTTTAATATGGAATTGAATGTTCAGAAGTCTGAAAAGGAAAGAGACAGTGTGCCAGGGTTTCCTAAGACACCCCTAAGTTCAGTTTTCACTAGAATATTCATGAGATTCAACATATAGTTGTACTCATAGCTGTGAGTTATTTTAGTTATAGAATATCAAGCAAAATCAGATTGGAGAAACATTCACTTATATAACTTTTTTTTTTTAATGGCTAAGAACAGTGGTGCATGAGGTAAAGATTGCAGGAAACAAGACATTCACCCAAGAGTCTTCTCTTAGTGAGGTTACACAGGATGAGTAGAGACAACACATGTGAAATGTTATAAGGTCATTGCAATCTCAGTGCTCAGACTTTATGGTGGAGGTGGTCATGGAAGCACCCTCTTCTAGCAAGTACCATAATTTCAGATTCCCTGGAAGGAAAGAAGGAAGTGCTCAGCATAAGCCACGTTTGCACTCTGTACTTAGGTGTAGTGAGCTCCTCTTTATCAATGTGGTGGAAACTCTCCTGAATTCCAGGTTTCTAAAAGTCAGCCAGTGGCCAAACTTGTAAACAGGCCTTCAGTAGAGTAGCAATCCAAAGCCAACTGTGTTAATTCTTTCTTTGTCCAGTGAGATAAGGGAAAGATAAGGAGTCACTTTACCTTTATACTATGTTTTTTTTTTATTTGTTTTTAAAAATTTTACTTAGTGGTCAAAGAGAGGTCTCAGCAGAAGAATTTACTTCATTGGCAGTTTTTCTTTTCTGTATTACTGGATGTGGACTATTCCTGTAATATTTCTCAGTGCTCCATGTGTAGTGTATTGCTATATTTCTATTGTACTGTTGAAACATACTCTTTTTCTTAAAGGAAATGTTCTTCGTGTTACACTCTATCTTCTTAAACATACTGATAACCTAATTTGCATGCTTGTTTTTTCCATAGTTGTATGCTTATTGTTTACTCTTTTTAGATTTATCAGTACATTTCTCTTTTATTTTTATGGATATTTACATGTTTTCTTTACATAATAAATGATTGTAGAAAATTTATAGATGACTTTAAAACTTATACAAAATAAAGTCTGTAGCACATACATCCTCTTGATAAATACTCAAAAATTTATTAATTTTCTGACTTTTTTTAAGCATTGAAATTGATCATGCATTGTAACCCTTTTAAGAGCTTCAGTGGAAAACCATAAATGTTATGCTTTGAACTTTTTTTGTAGCTCTTTGAAATAAACTAAATACACTGTGTATATAGGTAGAGTTCAGTAGCAAGTTATTGTTTATTTCTTTATATATCCACATGCCAACTTAGAACAGTATTTGAACTATAAATGTGTAACTGTGCTTTAACTACTTTCATTGGTTGTTATCTAAGTAAAAGTGGCCCATAGTCCTTTAGCATTGGGAAATTTAAAGAGTTATAATTGTTTAGTATTTTTGTTCATTCTTTGTTTTAGGATCCTTATCTTGACAAATTTTTTGCTCTGGTCAATGCTCTGGATGAACACATGTTTCCGGTACGAATAGGGGATATGCGAATCATGGAAAATAACTTAGAAAATGAATTGAAGAGCAGTATTTCAGCATTGAATTCATCTCAGTTGGAACCAGTGGTTCGATTTCTTCATCTTCTTCTTGATAAAATGATTCTTTTAGTTGTTAGACCTCCTGTCATTGCTGGCCAAATAGGTAATTTACTTACGTTTCTGGATTGATGACCTTTATAATTTGACACTTTTAACTTTTATAAAGAAGCCCTGGTGGCACAGTGGTTAAGAATTTTCTCCTAACTAAAACACCTGCTGTTTTGGACCCACGAGCTGCTCTGTGGGGAGAAAGATGTAGTAGTCTGCTTCCATAAAGATTACAGCCTTGGAAACCTGGTGGGCATTTCGACTCTGTTCTACTGGTTCACTGTGAATCAATTCATTTGATAGTAGCAGGTTTGATTTTAGTATTTAACTTTTGTAGAAGTATAACCATGATTTCTATTTTTTCCCCACAAGGGTTTTGTTTCATATTTTTGATTGTTGTTTATTTATAATGCCAGAAAATGGATACTTTTCATTGTTGTTATAAAACATAGGCCTTTTACTTGCTTAAGGGATACTGTGCTGTTGACACTTACAGAAACTGACCAAGGCTTAGTTTCTGACTAGGATCTCAAACAGATCCTTAGAAAAGCAGGCAAATTATGTTATATTCTTTAGAACATACAATGCATTTACTTTAAATGTACACTATCTGCTGTCCTCTATTTAATACAGCACTTGTTTCTTTGTTTTACCCAAGATCTCAATATCCCTTTCTTCTAAGGTTTACTTCTCTACTTTTACTCCTAGTTTTCATCCAAGTTCTACAAAGTTCTATAAGATTTCTGCAAATTTCTCCATCAGCTTACATGTTAGAGAAATTTTGTGCTGACTGGTGGTACAAAGGAGAAATATATTCCACTATTTGAGAGTTTTTATGTGGTGGTTTTGTCTTACTTTGGCTTTAAATTGGAGACTCATAAGTGGAGATAATTTTTGGATTGACCATTGAGTAAGAGAAGGTTAAAGACTTTCTAGGAAATTAAACAATATTTTCATAGTACATGGATAATAAGTCGGGCTACTTGAAGAGAATTAGAAATAATGGCATGTTGGTGGCTGGTGACTTGAGATGATACTAGAGAGGGAGATTAAGTATTTTCCATGCCACTGTCAGGAATTTGGACTATCACCCTGTAGGGAATCAATAGCTTATGAAGGGTCTGGTCTTAATTAGGATAGTAACATGACCTAGTTGCATGATACCTGGATATGGGATCATAATGGGAAACTCTCTAGATAAGGAGATAAATAAGCAATCTTGTAGAATCTGCTAAATCTATATTTGTAGAATCCACAAAAAATAAAGTCATATGGAAAAAAAGTACTGAAGGATTAAGGGAGGATGGGTTAAAAGATGCTATAGAGATGCAAATAGTGTTACAGAAATCATGGATGGTTTTTCAGAAATAATTGTTAATATTATATATGAAATAGTAACAATTATAGAAAACACTTGGACCACACTTACTGTATATTATAGTGCTATTTTGCTTATCTTACTGCATGACATCTTTCTAACTTCCCTGTGTGATAGGTTATTATTGCCACCATTTCTTGTATACATTAAATATAAGAAGGAAATAGTTGACACTAAAAAGAATACAAGCAGCAAATGCCAATTTGAAGAAATTGAGTTAGAAGAGGAAACAGACAAGGGAAGGGCATAGGATGGAGAGATTTGAGCATATGTTTATATGCTTAGGAGAAATGGTTGGAACTTGAAAAGTATATGATATAGAGTAGGAAGAGAGGTAATTACTAAAGCAAATCTATAAGATAGTTATAGATAGATCATCTTTAAATAGAAGAGGGACACTTCTTTCTTGGGAAAGGAGATTAAAGTAGTTTTAGTTATTTATAAATTTATAATTAAAAATTGAGGAACTTTCATGCTTCGTAAGTTTCTTCTGTGGAGGGAAAGGCCAGATTTACCAAGAAAAAAGTAGTAGGGTCACTTGGCTTCAGGCCTTTTGTTCATAGGGTCGCTATGAGTCATGCTTGAGTCGAAGGCAATCAACAACAACTATGAGAAATATGAAAAGTAACCAAGAATACAGGTAGGATTGCAAAGCTATATCCAGGTTTCTCTGTCTCTAGTCTCTTTCTTCTCTAGTTCAGTATAGAGAAATTAATCTTCCTAAATGTCCACTTTATCTTATTATTACACTTTCAGGCAAGCTTAATTGACTTCATTATTGGTTCATAATTTCCTGTCTTGATTAAATTCATTATCAAGTGTGAGGCTCTGTTACTCAATATAAATTGCTGTTCTGTTAACCCATTTATTCATTGTGCTACCAGAATTCTAAAGTTTTTGTAAAATTCTTGGTATATACTGATTTAAATGACTGTACAGGTATTGATTAGCTTTATATTTAAGGTCCTTTATAGTCTTACTTCAGCTTGGTTTCTAATTTGTCTTTTCTATCTAATCTTTTTAGAAAATCACTCATTTCAATCAAATTCCTTATCATTTAATCCCTTAAGTTACTATTTTTATAATCTCTTTTTATTGCTTTTTAGAAACTAAATATGTGTTCAATTTTTGCTTTTTATTGTCACAATTAAAATAAGCTGCTTTTTATAATTGATACAAAATCAATTCTTTTATAAATTCTATACAATTTCTTTTTCTTATTTTCTTATCATGGCTCTGTTGTTATTACAAAATGATAAGTGTCTGTTGAGCAGTGATTTTGTTTTTAGTAACTAGATCCATACAATTTTTATGATAAATTAATTTTTCTCTTCATTTTGTTTAAAATGTTTTTACTTTAACTCCTAGTCAGTGCTGTTAATACCGGAATAAGTTTCTTCTGTATCATGAATTATACTGTGTATAATTATCATACTTAAAATAACTAGAGATTTTAAAACATTAAAATAAAGTATATAGTATATACTTAAAGTATAATAAACTTAAAGCAAAAATATTTTCCTCCTTCTAAAAGTTAATCTAGGTCAAGCATCTTTTGAAGCCATGGCATCAATTGTAAATCGACTTCATAAAAACTTAGAAGGAAGTCACGACCAGCATGGCAGGAACAGCCTACTTGCGTCATATATCTACTATGTTTTTCGCCTACCAAATACTTATCCTAATTCACCATCACCAGGTATTTTATTTTTTTTCCCCATTAAATTGTCTTGCACTTGTGTGTACCTGACAGGATTAAGATAATATCTTAGTTTATAGCATGACACATTCATTTAATAGCATTAACTCACTGCCTGATAAATACCAGGTACTGTGCTGAGTGTTAGAAGTAAAAGGATAAATAGATTCAGTTTCTAGACATGATTATATAGTTTCCTTTACATTTAAGTAGACATTTTTGTTGAATTAATTCTTAAATACAAACTTTGAAAATTAATTCTTATGTTTCTGAGGACATGTCACCATATCTTATTAAGATAAATGGAACCTTGTCATTTGGTATACTTTTGGATACAGAAGCAGAAGTAGGGTTTCTTGGCAAATCCCTTTATAATTGTGTGAAACCCAGTAACAGAAGGAATTTTTCTAAAAAGAATTTATACCTTTATGATCAGTTCTACAAAAGAGCCCTTTTGGGCAATAAAACACAGACTAGTTATTCACATTTTATATGACATTGCTGATAGTGGTAGTTGGGAGTGAAATATATCTTAGTTTTGAATGCTCTTTAGTTCAGTTAGTTAGCTAATGATAATATTATACATGAATTTCAACCTGTTCACGTATTTGTTAGTATAAACTGGCATTCATCACTATGATAATGTTAAGTAGCCTGTTGTTGGTGGCCTAGTGGTGAGAAACTGTGCTGCAATCCCAAAGGCACGTGTTTCAAATCCACCAGCTGCTCCGCAGGAGAAAGATGAGCAGTTTCCTCCTTTGTTTATAACTGCCTCTGAAAATCTACTGGAAAATCAGCTATGGGTTATTTCTGACTCGACAGTACACAACACCACCAATAATGTTAATAACAGTGACAGATAATTATGATATTATGTAAATGAAAGCATAGTAATCAATGTTTTATCAACTTTCTTTCTTTGCTTAATTGTAAAAGGACAGTTATTTGACTCTGATATTCTGGTTCATCATTCCCTATCTTGATTATTAAAATTATAGTTTTAAGGTTCTAAATGTACAGGTGATTAATTATATCTAGTAAATCCTCCATTTACTATTTTATTCAATACACTATTAGAATCCTTCAGTTTATGCAAAACTTCATCTTTACATGCTAATGTGAAAGACTGTATGATCATGATTTTTGTCAGTTGCTATAAAATTCAGCATTTTGTGGGAATTTTTGGGCTTTTTTAAAAAAATTCATAGTATGTTTCACTTACACACAGGCAGTTTTTAACCTCTGCAACATTTTGTAAAGTGGTAGAGTTTTAAAATATGTTTTCCTAATATTTTTGTTTGTTTTTTAAATTCTGTGATACTGCATATGAACAACTAGGTCCTGGGGGTTTGGGAGGATCAGTACATTATGCTACAATGGCTAGATCTGCTGTGAGACCTGCAAGCCTTAATTTAAATCGCTCACGAAGCCTTAGTAACAGCAATCCAGATATATCTGGGACCCCCACATCACCAGATGATGAAGTACGATCAATCATCGGCAGTAAGGTAAGTAGAAGATATTGATAGAAAAATGTGGTTTTCCATTTCTAAAAAAAATAGAAATGTGCAGCTGTTTTAATTTATCTTAAATTTAAAATGTATCTTAAATAGTAGTAATTGAGAAATTACGCATTTCTTTTCTATTATTAAGCACTCATTGTACTGTGTCCCTAGTTTAGTTACTCTGCTTAAACATTTCTGTCAAATTTTAGAATTTTACAGGATCACAAAGAACATATAAAGGAGCTCTGGTGGCTTAGTGGTAAGGAGTCATGTTGCCATCCCAAAGGCTCACTGTTCGAATCCACCAGCAGTCTCCTCTGATGTGATTTGCTGCCTCTGAAAACCCACTAGAGGGTCATTAATGGGTTGTTTCCTACTTGATGATATGGAATAGCAACAACATCAAGCACATATTGCTAGCTTTCTTTAATCTGATAATTATGTAAAAATTGACTAGAAATACATAATATTTTCTGTAGAATTAAAAAGACAATTCTGTGGCTACAGTGAAGAGCAAATCTCTGATTTAAATTGTGCTCCCATTATCTCCAAAGACAATCAAGAATATTGCTAAACTTTAAATGACAATATAATTATATTTTAGATAGAAAACTCAAATTATGCTAAGGTTAGAAAAGCATAGTTCTGATTTTACTGAAGTCTGTAAGTGGTACAAATTATTAACATGCTTGGATGCATTTTAAAGTTTTATCTTAAACTTTGGTAATTGTGTTCCACCCATGGATAACCTTGGAAGAAAGGTCTGGCAATATACTTCTGAAAAACCACCCTTGAAAGCCCTAGTGAGCACCCTTTTACTCTCACATATACATAGAGGTGTCATGAGTTGGAATAAACTCAGTGGCAGCTAATTTTTAAATAATTATCCCAAACAGAGAGAGAGGCCAGGTAGTAAAAAATGTGTCCTTATTTTATTCAGAGCATATGTTTTAATTATCCCAAATATGTACTTAACAAGAATTCTTTTATTTCTTAATAGGAAATACAAAATTTAGGTTGGAGGAAGACATAGGAATACAAGCTAGGAAATCATGTCACGTTAATTCTTTGACCAAACGTTTTCAAACATGTCTACTATTGTTGTAAAGAAGATAGATGTCGTTATTATGAAATCAAAGCCTATCTTTCTTTTTCTCCTTGCTATCTGTTCCATCGTCTTTCTCACTCTATCTCCTACTTTATTGAGAAAATTGAGGCACCAGCAGAAAACTTCCATAAGCTTCCTCCACCATATTTACATAAAACTACCTACTAGTAACTACAGTCCAGGAGCTTTGGTGGTCTAACTAATAAGGAGTTGTACCATTAAGTCAAAGACCACACTTCTCTGGCAGTTTGAATCCACGAGCATCTCTAAAGGAGAAGATGGCAACCTCTTCCTGTGCAGTTTTCAGTCTCAGAAACTCAGTGCAGGCCCACTCAGTGCCGACCCCACAGCTGTGAGTTGACTCTTCTGTTGTTTTTTTAAAAAAAGTACAACCCACATTTTAATTCTATTCCTTTATACCTATTGGTACAGGTGAACTTTCCACATGCATATGAAACAATTAAAAATATCATTGCCTGAATCAAGCACACCACAGTTTTAAAAGGAATATTGTTGCTCTTTAACATTTTAAAAAGGTCCTTGAGAGCAAATTTACTTAATGCAATATGTTCATTTAATTTCCTCATTCCTACTTTCATGGGTTGTAAGTGTGGATCCAAGTAGATTGAAATCTTTGATGACTTTAATCTTTTATCGACTTATCATAATGTTGTCTCTTGGTTCACTTGTGAGGATTTTGTTGTTAGAAGCAGGAATGGTATCCACTTCCTAAACCACATGCCTCTGGAAACTATGAACTTTGAGAAATGACAGTAGTTATAGAAGGGCTTCATGTCTTTTGTTCATAGAGGAGTTTTGAGTCGTGCTCCACTTAATGGCAATCAACAACAACAACAACAATCTTACCCACTTATCATAATATTGCCTATTGGTTTACTTGTGAAGATTTTTTGTTTTCTTTATGTAAAGATGAATTACAGGAATTATATGTATTCCTGTATATAGGAACAAAACAACAGGTCACATGTTTCTTTTAAATGCTTAAGTTTTGACTTGATGTAATTTTAACCACTCAGCATTATTGTTGGGTACCATCGAGTGGGAACCGACCCATCGCCGATGCTCCAGTGAGTTTTAGAGGCAGTTAATCGCCATCCTCTTCAGAGCTGCTGGTGGATTCACACCACATGCCTTTGGGATTGCAACACAGCTTTTTGCCATTAAGCCCCAAGTATTGTAGATATAAAGAACAATTAAAACACATTTATTATTTACTCTTACATTGCTAATTAGCAGATACTCATAATATGCATAACTTAATAACATGCTAAATTATTAAATGAGTTAGAAAGTAATGATAGTGTACAGAAAAATTATTTATATTCTTTTTATTTAAATATATTTACAAAGAAAGATAATTGTAATTTTGTAGAGATCAGGTGCATATGGTTTGTTATTTTTGTAATGTAAGTAATAATTGTTAAAATTTAAAATGGCAAAAAGAATTTCCCATATTAAAGAGATATAATTTTGGAGTCTGGTAAAAAATTTACTTATCTGTAAAACATTGACTTTGGATTTCGTTTTACAAATTTTACAAATATTGGTAACAAATAATTTTATTTTGAATATTTTTGAATGTGTTTTCCTGGGAAGTATTTTTCATATGTACAATTTTTTAAAAAATATTTGGAGAGTTTATTCCAAACTCTGTGTTTACTAATGTACTTTAATTATGTGACTCTTACTGTGTGAGGGAAATCTTATCATTCTCATTTTATAGATTAAAACTGAAAAAAAAAAAAGAGATCAAGTGCTTTATCTTGCATTTTATAGCTTCAAAGCTAAGATCTTAACTTTAATACCACACACAATCATCATTAAAAATCAGGAGAAAAATATAGGTGATTATTTTATACTTTTATTTTTCTGTATATTTTTGAAAATAGAGAGGAACTATTCCTTCCAAACCAAGACTCTTGAGAATTGCAGTTTGTTTCCTCTTTCTCTATCTTTTCCTTCTTTCTTCTTTTCTACACTGTTTCATCTTCTCTTGAAATATATAAAAAAGTACTGATGCCCAGACTTACTCCCAGAGATTCTGATTAAATAGTTTTGATATAAGGCCTTGGGTATTTGTTGCTGCAGACAGAGTAGATTACCATTGATATTACTGTTTCTTTTCTTTGACCTGTGCCTCCTTTTCTTGTTTTCTTGTTTAGAACCATACTCAATGTTATCTTACTATCAAATACTATCTTGAATTAATGATGTCAGTAATGAAGCTATATTTCTATAGATATCTCTAGCACAGTATTTTTTCTTATTTTTTATATAAAATAGTAATTCATTACATTTATCTATCACAAGCATGATAAAATGGAAGGAATAAGTATTATGAATAATTTTTCCTTCTTAAATTTTTACTTAATTTTAATTGGAACTATTTTGCTAAATAGGATTTTTAACAATTATTTAATTAGTTTATTTTCTTAATTCTGGTTGCTTGATAAATAATACTACATGATGCTTATCCCCAAAGAAAATGAAAGAAAAGGCAAGAAATACAATAAAATTAAATTCTTTCAGGAAGGGTGGAACGTGGTTTTTCTTCCTTCAGTTTCTTCTTCAAATGCCATTTATATTATAGAAATAGTTCTGTTTTTACCTTCTGCCATCTTTAAAAGGAACAGGAGGTGGGCATGGTGTCACAGTAATTTTAATTGATGATATCTCAAGGTGAACCCATTGCATAAGGAGAAATTGCTTTCAAATGTTATACTTGCTGTTTTTGGTGATTTACAGAAAATTATGTAATGAGATCATTTGGGTGAACTAATGCTCTTTTTGTGCCTACAAATTTTGATTGCTTTAACAGTACTAATTTAAAACATGTCTGCATTGGAAAAATCTAGATTTCTTTAAAAATAATTTATGGCATGCAACATGTAATATTTCTTTCCTTTCAACTGCTTTCTATTATATGCTTAGGGTTTAGATCGCTCCAATTCCTGGGTTAACACTGGTGGTCCAAAAGCTGCCCCATGGGGATCCAACCCCAGTCCAAGTGCAGAATCAACACAGGTGGTGTTTACGTTAGAGGCTTCTTTATTGGCTGCTGATGTTTCCCTTTAGAACATTACCTTTAGTACATACTATGATTTCAGTGGCTTGCTTTTTGAATCATTAAAAAGTGTGTATTTTTGTTTACTTAGCACATTTCCAACTACTATGCATGAATACCATCAATTATGCAATTCTGCTTTACCTTTCTATTTACTCTCTCCTCCTCCTTCCTTCCTAATATCCTCTATCAGTATTTCAATGCCTGGTGTTTATACAATTGATGGTGCTTGTAACAGTTTCTACTTTAGCAGTAGCACATATTTAGTGGGAAGTTTTTCATTTGCTTTTGGTTTTAAATGTAGCTGTTGTATCATTTTCATTTAGCATTTAGTATCCAGTCATGTTTTTCCATAATCACTGAGTAGAAGGATAATAAGCAGAAATTAAATGTGAACAGTATATTAAAATTACCTCCATGCTATGATATGTTAACTGCCAGAACCAAATTAACTTTAATCTGAAGTGTGTTGCAAAGTATGAAATCTGTTAATATTTGTTTCAGTTAGATTTTTGGTTGCTTAAAACTCTAGTTGCTTGATACCTAAAACTGCATGGTGGCTCAAAATATACTTCTCATCTGTGCAGCAACTTTGGAGAAAAATATTCTTGTTCTTGGAAAAGAAAACTTAGTTAAAATTATAGATTATGTGCATTTGATGTGACAATGGTACACTTAAATTTTTATATAATAGTAAAAAAATTTGTAATTTCATACTTTTTATTTCTTGTATTAAGATAAAACTTTTGATTTCTTTTTTCATCTAAAAGCAGTTGAGAAGTATGTTTTTACTTTTCATATTTTCTCACTAGATATGTGCATGTTTATAGATCACAGATAAATATTTCATTCTTTGCAGCACTCTGAATGTTATATAGTCATTAGATTAATCTTTAGAAAGACTAAAATTGTCTATAAGCCACTTTTATACCTCTAATGCATTGTCATTAAAGCAGCTTAAGTTGAATATGAAATGAGCAATAAAATAGACGGTTGTTGAAACCTTGATAAAGCTTTGTCTTTAAACATGTGCATAATCCTCGAGCTGCAAAATTATTAACAGCAAAATTTAATGTTATCTCGTCATTCATTCATCTTCACTTCATAGGCTATGGATCGAAGTTGTAATCGTATGTCTTCGCACACAGAGACGTCAAGTTTCTTACAAACATTAACGGGACGTTTACCAACTAAAAAGGTAGATTCATATGAAGACAGTTCGTATAGGGGGAAAGTAACTCAAACAATTACATAGATGTAAATTTTCTTTATATAAATAATCTGAGATATTAAAATAAATGCATTGTCTTTGGGGGAAGACACATCTAAGCCAGCACTGATGCCTTTTTGGACATAACTTTTCCAGTGTAGGCTTTTACCTAGTAATATTTATTTTACAGGATTGACTTATTTTTAGAGTTTAGTGAATTCAAATTTAAATATCAAATTTTAATACCAAAAAAATGTATCAACTCTTATACTATTTCTGTAACTGCTTCTGTTTTGTGTTTTAAATCTCCAGGGAAAGGAAGATGAGTTAGAAAAATTATCACTCTTAGTAAGATATGTTGATTTGCTTCCCTTATGCACAGTTTTGTTAGTCTTTTCTCATATAATATACACTAATTTGCAAATGCTTTGTATGCATATCCATTGCAAGGCAGGAATTTTCTTCTTTTTTTGTTTTTGAAAAATGTCTTTAAATACCTGAAAATATGAGAATTAATGACATAAAAATTGAAATTTTAAAGGTATTTCCTAATTGTACCAGCAAAATGTGATGAATATATTTACATATGTTAACATACATGCTTAAAGCAAAACCAAGATATTATTTGTAACTATGGTTTTGTTCTTGTTTCTGTTTGCAGGTACAATTTAGGAGGCTAGTTTCTCACTTGTCCTTTCAAAATTACATTTTACTCAAAGATAACATGTAATTTTTTCAGCTGTTCAACATACCACTCTGTCTTACATACATGAATAGTCGTTTCGTTAATGGGTGTCGTCACTGCATCATTGAATGGTTCACATGCCTTGTTTTGCTTATTATCATTGTATCTTCATTTGTATTTGCACTGTTACCTAATTTATTTTATCAGTCTCATTGTTCTTGCTAGTAACTCTAAGCTTACTTCTGGTAGCTTTTCCATGAGGAGCTGGCTCTGCAGTGGGTTGTTTGCAGTGGCAGTGTTCGAGAGGCAGCGTTACAACAGGCCTGGTTCTTTTTTGAATTAATGGTGAGCAAACTAAACACATTCATTAATCCTATGAATCCTTTTCTGTTGTTTGTCTTTTTGTACCTAGGGAACAAAAGTACATGTTTTATACCTATAAATAAACATTGCAAACAAAGCCTTTAACATGCCATTATAAAGTTTGAAGTAACACATTTCACCAGAGAGGGTGGCAAAAGTAATGTAGCATATTTTTTCTTGTCTGAACATACATGTACATAATGGTGGTACTGTGGATTTTACATCAGCTATAGGAAGAATAGCTTTATAGATTGACTAACTGTTAAAGCTCATGGGGATAAACCAGCTAGAACCAACAACAAAAGACAAAAGAAAATACTTTTTGCCTAATTCAATAAATGATATTAAGAATGAATGCATTTCATACATATATATAAATTGCAATAAGGAATTCACAGTGTGTTAGTACAGCTGTTAGCCTAGGCACAGAAGTGTTGAATAACTTGCCTAAATATACACAGTATTTAAAGGTGACAAAATTCAAACGCAGATATTTTGACTGTAAAGACTTTACTCTTAGTCCTGCCTTCTCTAGAATGCTTATATCACTGGAGTCTTTACCCGCCTCAAAAAAAAAAATAGGCAAAGGGGGGGGAAAAAGTAAAGAAAAGAGGAAAAGGGACGGAAGAGAGAAAAAACAAAGAGAATCTCTAGAATTTATAGGATTATTCTCAGCATTCAGTGTTTTTAATATTGTGGGACTAGGACATTTTTCGCTAGTAATTTATTCAAACTCAGAACTCTTACTGCTTTGAGTAGGAACCAACTCACAGCTGATCTTCCATGGGTTTTCGAGAGGCTGTAAATCATATAGGAGACTACCCATCATTCTCCCTCCCTGGGAGCCATGGTGGATCGGAATGCCAGAGAGATTTCTGCGTGGCTCCCTATAGTTAGTAGCACAACAGAATACGCCACCAGAGCTCCCTACTGATTTATTAATCTACAAAAATAAACAAACTAGAGACTTCAGAAAAGTGAGAGAAAGCTCATTTTTATAATGGAAGAGAAACATTAAATTTACATTGCATATGCTTTTAATATAAGATCAAAATTTTGATTGACTTATTTCTTAATAGTTTATAAGCCTGTCCACATTTCCTAAATATAGTATAAGGCCAATTTAAGATGTGGCTCTTTTATTTAAATACTGTAGGCTCCCTGAAATTTCAAAGTCCCCATTACCTTTATCACAGTGTTGTGGTAATAACCCACCTCTAGAAGCCTTTTTTTACATGTAAATCACTGTTATTTTTTAACCAATATTGATTACTAATATTTACCCATCAAATATTTCTCGTACGCCCACTATATGCTGAAGAGACCACAGTAAACACAGGTTTCTGATCTTTCAGAGCTCACATTTTGCGAGTAGAAGATGGCAATACTCTTGCATTTTGAAAATTTGCACAAAAAATTTAGAGAATGAAACTTTTTCTTTTTAACATATGCAAATTCCCCCCCCCTTTATTGATAGCAAAATTTTATAAAAGTGATACAGTGATTTAGTTGATTTAAAAATTGAGGTGCATAAAGAGACCATAATCTCCATCCAAGCAGGTATATGCACACCCATGTTTATTGCAGATTTGTTCACAATAGCAAGGAGTTGGAAACAACCTAAGTACCCATCAACAAATGAATGGGTAGAGAAACTGTGGTATATTCACACAATGGAATACTATGCTGCATTGAAAAATAAGGAACTCATGCAATATTATTCAAAGTGGGTTACTCTGGAGGACATTATGCTGAGTAAAATATCTCAGTCACAAAAGGATAAATACTGCATAGTGCCACTGTTGTAGAATGGGACTGACTTCAGGGTTGGGGTAAGATTGAGAAAAACTGGATAGATTATGTATACTGCATTGAAATAGATGAGGGAAAGAACAGTTAAAAGTGATATATGATAGGGTATTATGATTATCACAGGAATCCAGAGTTAAGGTTGCATAGTGGAGTGCATTGGGGCAGGGTGGGGGTAGGGATCCGGGGGAGGGGTATTGTATACCAACAAAGAAGTTTATCTTTTGCTTTTCGAAGAGAGGAGTTGAACTGGGGCGGGGGGGTGGGTAGAGAAAAAAGTGCAACAATGAATGAATGGAAATCCAAAATATCTGTAAATGTTCATTAAAATTAATAAAATAAAATTTGAAAAATGAGGTGGAGGCATAGAGCCTTTAAGAAGAAGTTTTAAGCAATTATATGCAGGTTTGAGTTTATTTCACCTTTCTTTTGAATTTTAAAGTATACATGATTTGAATCCACCAGTGGCTCTGTGGGTAAAAAAAATATGGACAGTCTCCTCAAGCTACAGTTTTATAATCCCTTGTTATGAGAACTGACAATGAATAGGATGACAAAAGAAGAATTGATGCATTTGGTATTGAAGAGTGTGGAATATCCCATAGACTACCAAAAGAACAAACACGATATGTCTTGGCGAAAGAATGCATCTAGAATGCACCTTGAAGGCATGGATTGTGAAGCTTCGTCTCATATACTTTGAACATGTTGTGACAAGAGGCTATTCCTTGAAAGGGAATTGTGACTGGAAAGATGGAAGGATCGGCGAAGGAGAAGGGAACCCTTAATGAGATGCTTGATACAGTGTCTGTGGCAATAGGCTCAAATATGTTGGTGATGATGAGAATTGCTCAGGATATGACAGGGTTCAGATCTCTTGTGCTATTAATCTTAGCCTGAGGACACTTAACGACAACAAAAGCCTACAGAAGAGTCAGCTATGAATCAGTATCAACTTGAAAGCATTAAGTTTGAGTTGCATTTTTTAAAATATTTACAAGTCTAAAGTCATTTCAGCTATCTCTTAAATGGTAAGGCATAAGGAAAAAGAACGTTAATGTTTAGAATTATGTTGTTGTTGCTTTTGGGTGCACTGAGTCAAGTATGACTCATCGTGACCCTATGAACAACTGATCTGAACACTGTCCTATCCTGTGCCACTCTCACAATCTCTGACACAGTCAAGCCAATTTCCTCAGTCATTGTGTCAACCCAGAGGGTTGAGGATCTTCCTCTCTTTCACTTCCCCTCCACTCTACCAAGCATGATGTCCTTCTCAAGGAAAAACTTCTCCTAGAAACATGCCCAAAGTATATGAGAAGCTTCAAAGTCTTTGCCTCAAGTTTCTCTGGCTGCAATGTCATCAATATAGAGAAACAAAATACCTAATTATTCTTTTGGCAGTCCCTTTAGATATTCAGCACTCTTCTGCAACACCACATTTCAAAGACAGTCATTCTTCTTCGGTCATCCTTATTCATTGTCCAGCTCTCAAATTCATTGGAAGTGATTGGAAAGACCATGGCCTGAATGAGGCACACCTTTGTCCTCAAACTGACATCATTACTCCTCAATAATTTGGAGAAGTCCCTGACTATTAAAAACTGAAGTAACTGCTAATTAAGTTCTTAAGAAATTAACAGTTGTTGCATATATATATATATAAAATATTTTTTTTCAGGTAAAGAGCATGGTACACCATTTATATTTTAATGACAAACTTGATGCTCCAAGGAAAAATCGTTTTCCAGAACGTTTCATGGATGATATTTCTGCTCTTGTCAGCACAATTGCTAGTGATATAGTTTCACGATTTCAGAAGGTAATGATAACTTTTAAATAATTATATTTATAATCTGTTCTGCTAAGATTAGTGGTAGACGAGTTACTTAAAGGTGAATGTCAACCATGTCCCAAATGTTTGATCTGCTGTAGCATTCCATGAGTTCTGACATCAGCTGTTCATCCTTCGTTCATTTCCTCCACTCCTCTCTGTCCCTTGCGTTTTGTGATTCCCTGGAAGGTCTCACGGAAACTTAAAACTCTCTCAGGATAATGACTCACGCAGCGGAGAGAAATTCAGGCTAGTGTTGCATATGTTGGTGAGAGATGAGTCAGAATCTTGTAGACTGCCAGTTGCAGCCCAGCTGGATGCTGTCCCAGGAGGGTGAGCATCCCAAAAACATGAGCATTAATCTTCTATGAGCTTATGTAGACCTCTAGTATGGGAGAGCCTATATCCCATCCTAGTCCTGTTTTCTTAATTTGATAAATGCTTTATCACAAAATAAAAGAAGTTAATCAATGGCTTAAAAAGCCATTTTGAACAATAAACCCTTAACACTTGTCAAAAGACCAAGGGTGGACCTTAACCAACTTTGCAAAGGGAACTGTTCCTATCAGCAAAACAAAACCAGTTCTCATAAGGTCAGACATATTCCCCACACTGCTACACCTTTTCTCTTCATTCCAACACCATTTTTACTACTTTCCTGGGTTCAGAATCCATTGTGATAGCTCACAGACCACAAAGAACCATATTAGGGAAGTCAAAAGGTTAGTAGCAGAATATAATCACTCAGACAAGGTCGCTTCCAAAATGTGCTTGTGGGCACCTCAGCGGTGAGCCTCACAGACTTAGGCCCAAACTTCCAGTTACAGTTCTTCCCATTAGTCATCCAACAAACTTTGTCAAAGGCTCTTAGCTCTAGTTCCTTGTAGGGTAGCAGTCCTAAGGTCCACTCTGTCTCACTTTAATTCTCTGTTGTGGCTACTGTTACTGCTGCTTCCATAGGCTCTGGTCTGACTGGCACAAGAATCTCTAGCATCCAAGAATGAGTTGCATTCTCTTATTTCTTCTTTGCTGGTGGTGAGGTTCTCCAATTTTGTGGCTAGCTCTGCTCAATTTAATAGTCAGACTAAACAAGCTCCTTGTGGATAGGGTAACAAACCCTATTCACATATTCCGCCCATCCATAAGGCAAAGTTAGTCAGTGGCTAGGGATTCCATTTTGAGCAGTTAATCCTTAATACCACAGCACCATAAAAAAATCAAATCTCTGAAGCTATAATTAAAACATCATATTTTTATTTATTTTTGTTTTCATTCTGTTTCTTAGGACATAGAAATGGTTGAGAGACTCAATACAAGTCTGGCATTCTTTCTTAATGATCTGTTGTCTGTTATGGACAGAGGATTTGTCTTTACACTCGTAAAGTCCTATTATAAACAGGTAATGCATGTTTAGTAATCACATAATTTATATACTGTTGGGTTTGTTTTCTTTAATAGATCTGGAGCTAAGAGGATTTCAAAAACACAAGTATATACTTAAAAAAAAATTAATGTAGCATTGTTGCAGGAATCCGACCCTCTGTCCAGTGAACAACGAAGGAACAACGCTATAGGCTCTTTTGTGAAGCAAGAAAGGCATTGTTAGGCAAGGGGAGCACTGCAAGAGACCACAGCCTCACAACTGTCAGGCTCCCTAAAGGCAAAATGTTCTCTCCTTTTTTTTTTTAATTTAAAAGTTGTTTATTTTGTGAAATACTATATAACTTGGGAGAGACTAGAGAGCAACTCTCTTTATATAGGCTTAGGAGGTGTTTTTTGGGATCTTTTTTCTGTTGGTTAGTATTTATATGCAGTATGACTGGTTAGTTAAGTATACTGAGAAAAAGATCATGGGGTTAGCTTTTGTTCCCTCATTTGGTTTCTTAGCAGTCAACCCCCAGCCGCTCCAGGGGTCACAACTGCTAAAACAGTTTACTGTTACTTATCTTCCTGGACCCACTTCATTCCTGAGTCTGCCTCTGCATATTTTTAATAGTTGGGAAAATAGAAACTGCATTCATTTTATTACCATTTGAAGAGTATAGTAAATTGATAGGAATATAGCTTTTTCGTGAGTTGTATTAACCGTATCATGGCCACTTTTTCATTCTCATGAAGAATTAGAAGTCAATAACATAAGTGTGAAAATGCCATGCCATTGTAACACTTACATGGAATCATGGAATGAATAACTTACTGAAGTTTTTAAGTAATTATTGACACAACCACATTTACTTGTGGTTTCTTAACTACTGTTAACGTTGAAGATTTTAGAAATCATAAGTAAATGTAGAATGCAGATGCCAGTCAGCTTTTATTAAACCCAATGAATCCTGGCACTTTGTCATTGAAACCATTTGTCCTGCTTACCCAAGGCAGTTATGACAAAAAACAAAACAAAACAAAACACACACACATACAACAAACCACAAGTGAGTAGTTTTATAAAAGTGCAACAATGAATGAATGGAAATCCAAAATCTCTGTCAATTTTCATTAAAATTAATAATAATAAAAAATAGTAGTGAAAAAAAAAAGTCTTATTCTCACAGCTTTGGAGACTTGATGTCCGAATTCAGGTTATAGAACTAGGAGGAAGTTTGTTGTCTGTAGCCTAGGGGTTCCTTGGCATTCTTTGACATTACTTTTGTCTCGATTCAACTCTTTTTATAATACAGGTTGACTACATTAGAGACCCACATATTCTGGAATGACCTTATAAATATAAAGGTATAAAAATTCTTTCTAGGCAGGATAACATCCACATGTACTGGGTTTAGAATTTCAGTACCTGTTTTGGGAGGAACACAAGCAATAGGTCACTGAAAAGAGGAGAAGAAAAGATGAAAATGGATGTTTAAAGACTCTGAAACTTGCTCTAGAACATAGAGAAACCAAATCAAAAGGGGAAAATGAGAAAATAAGAGAGCTGAACAGATTTCAAAGGGCAGCTTGAGAAGACAAAGTATAACAAAATGTGCAAACACCTGAAGTTAGATAACAAAAAGGGAAGAACATACTTGGCATTTATAAGCTCAAAAAACTGAAGAACAAATTTAGCCCTCCATTTGCAATCCTGTAAAAAAAGGCTGTATGGGGAAAATTACCAAATGACACAGAAATCATCAATAGAGTCAGTGTACCAAATAGAAGTGGTCAACACTGAACCATTTCAGTATAGTACTGAGATTTAAGCATAGTAATGACCAGTGGTATGAAGGAAGAAGCCCAAGCTACCCTGAATGCATTGGTCAAATGTAAGACTGCAGGAATGGACAGAACATTAATTGATATGTTTCAAAAAACAGATTCTGTTCTGAACATGCTTATTCAGTCTGTGCCAAGAAATTTAGAAGACAGCTACCTGGTCAACTGACTGGAAAGGGATCCATACTTGTTCCGATTCAAAAAATGAGTGATCCAATAGAATGTAGAAATTATTGAACAATGTCATTAATGCTAGCTAGCTGCTAGTAAAATCTTTCTGAAGGTTATTAAAAAAATGACTAAAACACATCAGCAGAAGACTACCAAAAATTGAAGCTAAATTCGGATTATTGATATCAAATGAATTTTGACAGAAAGCAGAGAACGTTAGCTTGTGTTTTATTAACTATGTAGATGCAGTCTCATGGGTGGATTACAAGCAAGATAATAACATTGACAAGAGTAGATAGTCCAGAACATTTTATTGTACATGGATAAAGAAGCAGTCATTCCAAAATGCTGCTACATGGTTGCAAATCAGGCAAGGAGTACATCAGAGTTGGTTTCTTTCCTCAAACCTATTCAGTCTGTTTCCTGACAAATACTTCAAAGAAGCTGGACTATATGAGTAAGAATGTGGTATACAGATTAGAGAAAGACTCATCAGCAACCTGTGTTATGAAAATGACAGAACCTTCTTACTGAAAGTGAAGAAGCTTTGAAACACTTACTAAAGATCAAAGACTATAGCTTTCAGTATAGTCTTGAGGATTATACCTGAACATAAACATAACATGCTCACAACTGTCATTAAGTAACATCATAATAAATGGAAAAAAGATTGAAATTGTCAATGATTTTCTTTTACTTGTTGGATCCACAGTCACCATGCATAGAAGCAACAGCCAGCAAATCAAATGACATGTTGCCACAGACCTCTTTAAAGTGCTAAAGAACTGGGACATAACTTTAAAGCTGTGGTATACCCTGCTTGCTGAAACTGAGGAGGATCTGAAGCACCTGATGCAGAAGGTCAAGGACTGCAACCTTTAGTATGGATTGAAGCGCAACATCAGGAAAACAAAGATTCTCACCACTGGGCAATTGGCAACATCATGATAGACAGTAAAAAGATTGAGATTGTTGACACTTTCAGTTTGCTTGGCTCCACAATCAACACTCTTGGTACCAGCAGAAAGTAAATTAGAAGACGAATTGTATTGTGAAAATCTGGTGTCAGAGACCTCTCCAAAGTACTGAAGAACAACAATGTCAGTCTGGAAACTAAGGTGCATCTGATCCATGCCAAGGTCTTTGCAATTACCTGCTATGCATCGGAAAGCTGGCCAGTGACTAGGGATGATAGAAGGAGAATTGATGCCTTTGAGCTGTGGTGCTGGAGAAGAGTATTGAATATACCGTGGACTGCTAGGAGGACAAACAAGTTCAACCTAGAGAAGGTGAAACCAGGCTGCTCCTTGGAGGCAAGGATTCTGAAGCTTCATCTGACATACTTTGGACATGTTACAAGGAGAGACCAGTCCTTGGAGAGGACATCTTGATTGGGAAAGTGAAGAGAGGAAGGTCCTCGACGAGATGGATTGACTTCATTGACTGCGTTAATGAGGGTAGGAGTGTTAGAGACAATAAGGTTGGCTCAGGATAGAGCAGGGTTCAGAGCTGTTGTACATAGGTTGTTTTGAGTCACAAGCAACTCAACAGCCACCTGACAACAACAGCAATGCCTGACTCAAGCTCTGGTATTTTCAGTTATTTTGTAGGCATGTGAAAGTGTATAATGAATAAGAAAGAAAACAGTTGGAAAAAATAGAGCCAGCAAAACAGAGGAAAACCCTCAATGAAATGAATTGTCACAGGAACTGGAACAGTGGGCTTAAGCACAACAGAATTTGTGAGGATGGTACAGGAGTAGCAGGGCTTCATTCTGTTGTATCTAGGGTCGCTGTGAGTCGGTAGCACCTAACAACAGCAGCTTCCTTTTGGAAAGCTTTTGTAATTGGTTCTGATGGGCCACGTGGGCAGGAAGTTATATATTCTTCTTATAATTACTTTGGAATCTTTAGAAATAAAGATCTCTGAGTTCTATTCCAGAGTAAACACAGGATAATGTTTGGTTCTTTTCATAGAAGAGATAAGAAAATATGCTGAGTCCATGATCAGCTTAGAAATATTTGCAACACTAAATACTATTCTCACCTTTCTCCCAAAATCTCATGCTACCCAAACCTGTCTTGTGTTTTTTTTAGACAGTGACCTTCTAGATTTGCCAAACATTATATTTGATCCTGTTACTGCTGTTGTATACCTTTGAGTTGGAACTGACCTATAGCAGGTTTTCAGAGGCAGTTAAGTCACGTGGGGGAGATTGCCCTTCTTTCTCCCACAGCATAGCTCTTGAATTGAAACCGCATATGTTGGCGATGGCAGAACAGTTCCTTACTACTAAGCCACAAGAGCTCCATGTGTTAAACCCTAGAAATAATAACGCTTTTAAGTCCATACATAGTATGCCTCATGAACTAACTTACAGTATAATTGTGAAAAGAGACAGTTGAAAATATAGGAAAAAGACAGTTTTATGAAAATGCTGGTGATTTCGTTTTATAGGTGGTATGAACTTATTTTGTGGACTCAATGTTTCTTTCTATGTGTTATGTATGGTGTTTATAAATAGTCTTTGAAAAATGAAAATATTAATGGAATACTGGAAATATAAGAATATAGTTTTTAGGTAAGTCAAATAGACTTTAACAGTAAATCTTGTGATTTCTGAATTTCCTCATTGTAGCAGTGCCTGGAAAAAAATTGATAGTATTGTGTTGTTGTTGTTTGTTGTTAGGTGCCATTGAGTCACTTGCGGCTCATAGCGATCCTATGTACAAAAGCCCTAAACCCTGCTCTATCCTGTGCTAACTTTATTGTCTGTCTCTCTCACATCTACCCCCATTGCCCCGGTCACTGAGAACAATCCATTTCATCAAGGTGTCTTCCTCTCTTGCACTGTCCCTCAACCCTCCCAAACATGATGTCTTTCTCCAAGAACTCGTTCCTCCTTGTAAAATGTCCAAAGTATAATCTATAAAATAAATTTTTAAAAAATCCAACTTGAATAAGTTTTTAAAATTCTTTACTACTTTGTTTTAGTGTTAATATTAGAGAATTTATGTTTATTTGATATTCTTTTATTTATGAAATTCTTACTAGATATCTTCAAAGCTTTATTCATTACCAAATCCAAGTGTCTTGCTATCCTTGAGGTTGGATTTTCTGAGAATCATCTGTAGCCATGAACATTATGTTACCTTAAACTTGCCCTGCAGTTTACTTACTCCCCCTGCATCTCCATCACCTTCTGTTTCGTCTGCAACGTCTCAGGTATGCAAACAGCTTATTTGTATGTGAAAATAATGATATATTTTAAGTCCATATTTCTGAGAAAAAATTAACTCTAGAAAGACATAATTAAGACTTAAAGAATAATAGCCAGATAATACACTCAGTTCAAAGTCCTTCCTCAGTATGCACTCATTTAATCCTTGCTTAAGTTTGGTTTAACCAAACCCATTGCTGTCAGTCAAGTCAATTCCAACTCATAGCAACCTTAAAGATCATGTTTCTAACATCTTTTTCATAAAGAATAGCTCTTGAGTTTCAATCACAGACTAATATGGCAGCCACCAAGCTCTTTAATCACTGTATCACCACAGTGGCTCCTTAAGTCCACTGTTATCTTCATTTTACAGAGGAAAACCTGAAATATAGGAATATCAGGATATTACCCAAGGTGACGTAGTAGAAAAGTGACAAAACTAGGCTTTGAATCCAGGCTCATGGTGCTTTTATTCCAGAGATCAAGTGTTGTGGTCTCTAGGATAAAACAATTGCTATGTTTTGTGGCCTTCCACAAATTCAGACATGTTTGAAGTCACCAGCTCATTTATTTAGATGCTTTCACAAGTTGGGATCTCTGGAAGCTGACTCTGTACTGGAGGTTAGAGGGCAAAATTTTCAAGCATCAGTATCTTTGAAAGAAAGAAGGACAAACCAAAATTGAGCAGAGAGAGAAAAGTCAACCTGTAAGTCAGACCTATCAAAGCTCTGCCAAAACTTTATGCCCAGAAACCTAAAAGGAAACTTTGCTGTTGTTGTTGTGTGCTGTCAAGTTAATTCTAACTCTATCATGACTCACTGTATAGAGAAGCCCATTGGATCTTCTAGGCTGTAATTTATGAGATCTGTGCACCAGTTCTTTTCTGCTGTGGAGCCACTGGTGGATTCAGACAACTGGTCTTTCAGTGACTGTCAAGTAGTTAACACTTGTGCCATCAGTACTCCTTTAAAGGAAATTAGATCTACATTTATAGGTTCTCATCACGTGGCACTTAACTTCAAGAAACTAATCGTTTTTCGAAAGATCAAGAAAATGCCATTCTTTCTTTTTATAGAAGTCCCATAAGAATAGTTCCTGGATATAGACTAGAAGAGGATGAGATTGAGGAGACACTTAATTTTGAAGTATGTCTTGGGAGGTGCTATTTTTGCAATATTAAACAGCTTACAAAAACTCAGAAAATTTCAAGATGATTACAATCTTCCAGAGATAGTATATTTTTTTTTAAAAAGTAGTTTTACTGGTATTCTCTGGAAGCCAGTAATTTTTACTATAAATATTTCTCTTGTACTCTGCATTGAGCATAAAAGTTTATAATTTTGACTCAGTTTCCTTTTTTTCCTTCTTCAGTGTACGGTGTTTAAACGTTGTTGTTGTTATTGATTGCCATCGGGTTAAGCACAACTCATAGCAACCCTATGAACAAAATGCCTGAAAGCCTTTCTTTCTTTTTTTTTAAGGCCTTTCTATAACTATCGACATTTATCAAAATTCATAGTTTCCAAAGGCATGTTGTTTAGGAAGTGAATGCCACTCATTAAGTGACTAAATAAAGGACAAATTAGGTGGAAAATATTCATTGTGAGAAAAAGGAAATTTAATTAATTAAAAATTTATTCCATCCTACTTTCCTGTGCCAACAGTAGGAGTGATTACTTTTACCAATATTCATGATAGCAGTATTAAAGAAACTGCCATTCAAAAAGGTTTTTCTTTTCAAAAATACTCACACTTCATCTGTTGTGAAGCTTTTTAACTATAAGATAATTTGTTGCATAGGTATTACAGGGTTATTTCAATCCCTCTTCTACAACAGAGTTCTGGATTTTCCACAAATGTACAAGACCAGAAGATTGCAAATATGTTTGAATTGTCTGTACCTTTCCGCCAGCAGCATTATTTGGCAGGACTTGTTTTAACTGAACTTGCTGTTATTTTAGACCCTGATGCTGAAGGGTGAGTAGATAAGTTTTTGCCTTTTAGAATGTCACTTTGATTTTGAACAATGTAGTTGTGCTAATTATGCCTCCTAAGGACCAAAAGAATATTTTTCCCTCTATTTCTACTTCTTGATTCACTAAATCTGGAACATGTTATATCTCTTCATTTTAGGGAAGACATAGTTTTAAGAAATTCTCTTATCTGTGCATTTGCATTCTGTCTTTAAATGAGAGGGATATCATTGTTTATTTAGCACCATTTTCTTCTTAACAGTACCTAAAAATAATTATGCTTATTAGTAGGTAAGAAATATCTTTATATTTGTTTATATACAGTAGATGATTTTCAGTTGAGGAAGCAGTCTTACCTGCTTGATTCTTTATGAGGAGAATTTATCACTTGCCAATCAAATATGATGGATTTTATTTCAAAATATGTCCTATATATACTTATATTTTAAAAACTTCTAAAGATCGGTATACTTGTAAGAGAATTTTTGGAAATTAACACAGTCAAAAAAGGTATATTGTCTAGAAATTAGAATTTACAGAAATTGACGTGTTGTGGTCTAGCTTTCCTATGGGCTATAGTTATTTTTTTCCCTAATTGTGCTAAAATTGTGCACAATGAAACATTTGCCAAATCAAGAATTCTAACAAGTGATACTGATTACATTTTTCATGTCATATAACCATTCACACTTTCTTTTTATGATCATTCTACCAGAGTTTATCCATTCATCTATTGATGGAACTTTTAGGTGGTTTCTACCTTTTGGCTGTTATGAGTAGTACCTCCATATTGGTATGCAGGGTAATGTCTATAAAGGTCCTATAGCCTGAATAATGCATTTCCATAGGGTCGAAGGCTTGAGAAGGGTAAACTTAATAAGTCCATTTTCAAAATTGGTTGTACAGGGGTATGTCTTTCTTAATAGTTGTTTAAAGAAGTCTCTTTAAAAAAAAGGTCTGTAATCATAACTCAGTTGAATAATAAGCACCCCCCATTTATTCTCTTAATACTGTTTTAAGTTTTTAAGAAACAGTTTAACTTCATATCAGAGTTCCATTAAAACAAAAAAGGAGGTATCACAGCGCAGATTTTTCAGGAATGTTCTGATGCATTTGTTAAATGAGTGAATGAGATTTACTAAGTTCTTAAGGAAATGTTTGGGATATGGTCAGTGTTCAATAAATTGTGAAAGGAAAAATCATGACCTTGAGTCTATCCCACCTGAATTTCAGAACCATCTCAGGAACAGATTTGAGGCTTTGAACACTAATGAACGAAGGCCAGATGAGTTGTGGGAGGATATCAAGGGTATCATCCAGGAAGAGTGCAAACGGTCATTGCAAAGACAGAAGAGGAAGAAAAGACCAAAATGGATGTCAGAAGGAACTCTGAAAATTGCACTGGAGCGCAAAGAAGCCAAAGCACAGGGAAGAATTCAAGATACTAAAGAGTTGAATAGAAGATTTCAAAAGGCAGCACGGGATGACAAAGCAAAATATTACAATGAAATGTGCAAGGAGTTGGAGTCGGAAAATCAAAAGGGCCGAACTCACTCAGCATATCTTAAGCTCAAGGAACTGAAGAACAAATTCAAACCTCGAGTTGCTATAATCAAGGATGCTTTCGGCAGAACGTTAAATGATCCCGGAAGTATTAAAAAAAGATGGAAGGAATATACTGAGTCACTGTATCGAAAGGAATTGGAAGACACAGAAGAATTTCATGAAACAACATATGAGCAAGAGCCTATGGTGATGAAAGAAGAAGTTCAGGCTGCTTTGAAGGACATGGCCAAAAATAAGGCTCCAGGAATAGATGGTATACCAATTGATATATTTCAGTTAACAGATGCTGCCCTGGACGTGCTCACCAACTTGTGCCAAGAAATCTGGAGAACGACCACTTGGCCAACTGACTGGAAGAGATCGATATTTGTTCTTATCCCAAAGAAAGGCGACCCAACCGAATGTGGAAACTACAGAACAATTTCACTGATTTCACATGCAAGCAAGATTTTACTGAAAATTATCTAAAAGCGACTGGAACAGCACATCAACAGAGAACTACCAGAAGTCCAGGCTGGTTTCAGAAGGGATCGTGGTACTAGAGATATTGTAGCTGATGTTAGATGGATCTTGGCTGAAAGCAGGGAATACCAGAGGAATGTCTATCTGTGTTTCATTGACTATGCAAAGGCATTTGACTGTGTAGATCATAACAAACTGTGGCTGACTCTGAGAAGAATGGGAATCCCAGAACACTTGATCGTTCTAATGCGAAACTTATACTTGGACCAGGAGGCAGTCGTCAGAACAGAGCAAGGGAACACTGCATGGTTCAAAATTGGGAAGGGCGTACGCCAGGGATGCATCCTATCTCCATACCTCTTCAACCTATATGCAGAACAGATTATCCGGGAGGCTGGGCTCTATGAGGAGAAATGTGGGGTCAGGATTGGTGGACGATTTATCAACAATCTGCGTTATGCGGATGACACAACCCTGCTTGCTGAAACTGAGGAGGACCTGAAGCGCCTGCTGCAGAGTGTCAAGGACTGCAGCCTGCAATATGGATTGAGGCTCAATGTCAAGAAGACAAAGATTCTCACCACTGGACCAATCGGCAGCATCAGGATGGATGGTGAAGAGATTGAGATTGTACACAGCTTTAGTTTGCTTGGCTCCATAGTCAACAGTCTTGGCACCAGCAGCCAGGAAATTAAAAGGCGCATTGCCGTGGGAAAGTCTGCTGTTAGGGACCTCTCCAAAGTGCTGAAGAGCAGTGGTGTCTCTCTGGAGACTAAGGTGCGTCTGATACAGGCCGTAGTCTTCGCAATCACCTGTTATGCATCAGAGAGTTGGACAATGACCAAGGAGGATAGAAGGAGAACTGATGCCTTTGAGCTGTGGTGCTGGAGAAGAGTACTGAGAATACCATGGACTGCTAGGAAAACAAATAGATTTGTCCTGGAGAGGGTTAAACCGGGTGGCTCCTTGGAGGCAAGGATTCTGAGGCTCCGTCTAACTTACTTCAGACATGTAGTGAGGAGAGACTGGTCCTTGGAGAGGGACATCATGCTTGGGAGGGTGGAGGGATGGCGCAGGACAGGAAGGCCCTCTATGAGGTGGATTGATTCAGTGACTGGGATAATTGGGATGGGAGTGTCAGAGACAGTGCAATTGGCACAGGTCAGAGCGGAGTTTAGGGCTGTTGTACATAGGGTTGCTATGAGTCGCAGGCGACTCGACGGCACATAACAACAACAAGAACAACAAATTAAAAAAGCTCAACTTTTTTCATAATGAAGCTGTCAAAAAACCACTTTGCTGATCAGTCTGAACAGACTCGTAGCTAAACCTCCAGTGGTTTTTCGGAGATTTTACATCACAGTGGAGGAAACTGCCTTCTCTCCTGTGGAATCGCTGCTGGATTCGAACCATCAAAGAGACACCAGCTGTGGGCCACCACCGCCACTCCCAATGGATTACACCACCAGAGTTTTTGCAGTCACATGTTTCCAAATTAGAAAAGCATTTTATTTATAAAGAAGTACTTTTCTTACTGTAGAGCCTGGTGTCCTAAAACCTGAATAATGCATTTCTGTATAGGGTAGGAGGCTTGAGAAGGGAAAACTTAGTGAGTTAGTTATCTCTCTTTTATATTAATACCCTATTGAATAAAATGATTTTGGGTTTTTTTTTTAAGTTACCATTTTAAAAACAATAATACTCTGAAAACAACTTAACGAAAGTAAAACATTCTAAACAGTCATGGCCTTCAAATCATTGTCAAAATAAGTCAATTCCAGTACAAATTCCATCATATTTCTCAGACTGTAAATGTAAATATACTACTGCCTCATCTTCCTCCTTTAAGTGGCGGGTGGATTTGAACAGCTAACTTTTTGGTTATCAGTGTAACACATAATCTATTGTTCCACCAGTGGCCCTGTCTTAAATATTTTGATCAGAAACAGAGTAAGTTAAGTGTTGGGCTGCTAACTTGACATGAGTAGTTCCGATTCACCAGGCATTTCACAGGAGAAAGATGAGGCAGTCTGATTCCACTAAGATGTAGAGCCTCAGAAATTCAAATCTCTGCGTCAATAAAGACAGTGACAGATCAGTTTTTTGGAGGGAGACAGACAGGTGGATAGACTTTCTCAGTTAAGGAAGCAATGCACTGATTTGCATTTATCTTTTCTCAGTAACAAAACAGCACTAGTATAAGTAGCAGGACACATCTAATTAGGATCCAGCCCTGGAACTGGAGGTAGCTGCTCCTGGAGTTACATGGAAGAAGAATGTATACCTGAATAAGACCTGAATTATGTTAGGAAGGAAGGTAGAAAATAGGCATTGCCTCAGTAATCAGCAGAAAGAATAGAGAAGTTCAAGAGTCACCAGTTTCTGGGATGAATTTTCTGTGTCAAAGTTGAATTCTACATCTCTGCAAGATAAACAACCCAGTCACAAAATGGGCACAAGGATATGAATAGACATTTCACCGAAGAAGGAATTCAAATGGCAAACAAACACATGAAGAAATAGTCAAAATCTCTAGCTATTAGAGATAATGAAAGAGTTTAAAAAAAAACAACCCCCCCCAAATGATGTGTTCTATTGAAAGGTGGCTTTCAGGGTTTCTGTGGAACGGTATAATGCTTGCTAAATCTTTACAGTTGTTTTTCTGTCTGTAAGCTACAGTGTGTTGGTCTTTGATATGTGGACAGATTTTACTATTTTTTATAAATTCCAGAAAGCAAAATTATTATCTTTTTCTTTGTGAACTATAATAATATGAAAAACATGAGATAGTAGAGAATAGGATTATGGCTGTAACTTTTGCCTCTGCTTATTTTTTCCTTTACTTCTTCCTGGCACCCACACAAATTCCACAGGTGCTACCAAAATGGATCCCGAGTTCATCCACTTTAAAAAAAAAATTTCTTTCTTTTTTATCCACTTCTTTTCCTTACTTCTTTTATCTGAACAATGCTTCCA